GGGGCACCACGCGGGAGAAGAAGTCGTAGCGGGTGTTGTCGCTGAGCTCCGGGGCCGTGGAGGCGTAGCTGACCTGAGGGATCTGTGGGAGGGGGGCGAGCGGAAGTCAGCCGTTAGCTTCAGGCCGAGCGGATCGCAACTTTAAGACAGTTTAACATTTTAACATCTGAGTCAGCGGAATCTGAACACGTCGTACCCTTCAGACGGCATCAAATCAATACCACAGAGCAGATTCTTTACATTCGCTCGATGGATTCCAACAGGGGACTGTTCTACAGGAACAGGTCGCGGCGGGGTCACGGTGGCGTCACGGGGTAACCAGTGTTTTGGTCCGGCGAGTGGTCGTGTCAACCGGTGACTTTCAGCCGCATGTGTCTGTCCTATAACTATGTGTGACGTTGATGTTAAAGATAATGAACACACGAGTCTGTAAATACGTGACGTGGCGATACAACCTCCACTAAATGTGCACTGATTCCTCTAATTTGTCCCAATGATGAACAAATTTTGGTATAAAAATAGTATTTATACTTCCCACTACTGCATTTTAAGTCAAATCGATAAATATTTCCCCTCTGAGGTCCGATGATCTTTTTCAGGATGATCCAGACTTTGACAATGTCACATTTGTCATTTTACTCCAATTAACATTTTTATTTAATAAGATAAAAGGTTTTAGTTTGGTTTTTTGTTCATGACGTCTTACAGCCCAAACTACAACCTGCAGACAGGAAATTACGAAATCATCTCCAGCAGAGTTCTGTTTGGTTTTAAACCTTTTAAAACACCAGAAAACTACATTTTTAAAAAGCATTTTTCTGCCATCATACTGATCTCTGTGGTGGAACCTTCCACTCAGACATCATGCCGTGTACTTCAGGACACGTCCCTCCGTAGCTGCCCCCGGCGGCCTGTCAGGGGGGGGTAGTCGTGGATCAGGGAGGCAGATCAGGTCTCGGATCCCTTAGCGGGTAACGCTCCTTTAGAGAGATTGAAAGGACGATCGATTTCCCTTCAGGTCGCCTCATCGCGAGGAAGACGGACGGAGGCCCCTGAGAGGTGTTCGCTTACAGCTGAAGAGATCCTAAAGCGGTGTTCTACATACATTGATGTATATATCAGTAAATAAAGCTGTGGTGAATTGTGTCTCAATGAGAAGACTTAACTCATAGAACACTAGTCTGTCTGTTAAGTGAAACATGTGAAACAGCGGCGAGGGATTCAATCAGAAATAAAGGAGATTCAAAGTGGGGAACGCTGTGATGAACAATGGCGTTCCTCTCTCACGCGCACAGACACACACACACACCAACATGGCGACGTAGATGGAAATGGTCAAATTAAGGAAAGAAGACCCCATTGATGCAGGACAAATCTGTTTATAAAACTAAAATTATCTAAAATGAGTGGTGCTAGAAGCAGGAAAGGGCAGCGGGCAAAAACAAGCATAGCGAGGGAATGCAACAAAAAACAACAGGCGACAAAACGGCCGCGGTGGAGGTGATTGAACCCCGTGCGGAGGAAGGGGTTATGTCCACAGCTGAAGCGATTCAAAGCCTGTGCAAAGATATACCAAACCTAAAAAACGAGCTTAAACAGGAATTAAAGGACTTTAAAAAAAAACACATGAACCAAAAATAACAAGATGTCAACACAGAGCTCCACGGGACACGTTTGGCCAGTGACGGTTGGTTGATACAGGTCAACGGGGCGTGGCCCAACCATGAGCAGCGAAGAAAAAAAAATAGTTTATTATATTAAAAATATATAAAATATTGACTAGTTTACAAATAGTACATTTTTGTGCTTTTGAAACGTGGATTATATACCCGGTAATATTTGTCAATTCGGATATCTGCGCAAAATGTATGCTTTTCCTGCACGTCCTCTCCGCTTGGAGAAGATGTGGGGAAAAAAGTGCAAACCACCATCATATATCATATCATATATTTTGGGGCTGTTCAGATATACGGGTGATTTGGGAAAATATCTGGAGAACTATGCAGCATATCCTTGGGCACTGGATCCTATTCACATGCAAGTCACTATATTTAGGCCAGAAGAAATAACAGGAAAGGATAGATACCTCCTAAAAATACTACAGTAACAGCAGTGCTGAAAGCGATCACCCGTAAATGGTTATAACCCGACCCACCTTTTGTATAATGGAAAGATTGATTTTCCTTCAAAGATTAAGAGGTACATATACGGCAAAGTGGGCCGGATGGATCAAATATAATGCAGAACAAGAGTATGGGCAGATGACCTGCCCTACCATGTCAGTGGGACCAAATACAAGATTGACCTGACGGACAACATTGTTTGTGTGTTGCAAATATGGTGTGTAATGGTTTATGTGTTTGGTGTGTTTTCTCCTCTCTGGCCTCTGCCAGGAGCATGACCCTTTTGTTGTTTTTGTTTGCTTTTTCCTTTCCCTTTCTTTTTGGTCCTATGAAGTATTGTTTTCCTCTGATAACCCCCCTAATAAAAATGCTTAAGTATCAAAAAAACACATGAGCTCCTGTAATGAATGTGTGTGACGTGACGCGTGATGTGAGCAGAAAAACAGCGTTATGGCCGCGAGCGGGAAGGTCGACGTCTTCAAATCACAGCAGAAATGATGCAATTCATGATGAGCGTGAAGGCTTTAGGCCTGAAGACATTTTAATTAGACGTCCAATTACAGCTGATAAGCACGTCTCCATCCACACGACCACAATGCTGAGAGGTCAATCCGCTTCATCAGGATGATGATCCTGAACCACGCTGAATGTAACAAATTCATGAACTTCCGTCAGTAAAAGGAAGAGTAGAGTTGGTTTTAATTCTCAGTGTTTTCATCGCTTAAAAAATGCCTTCGCCTTCCATCGGTGTGGAAAATATAACCTCAAAAGCTCCTTTCTTCTTATGTTTTGGTCATGACGACGGAATTATTTTACATGCATGTGCACATCATCAGTCGGTTTAAAACCACCTTTTAAATCTACATTTCAGATAAACGGAGAAAAAAAAAACAGAACTACTGTTAGGCAGCTACGCCTACAACAAATAATCCTGCTGGAGTTAACGTCCAGGTTTGTCTAAACCTTGACAGAGTGAGACATAAGTGGTCCCAGGGACGTCTCAGGGTGTTTCCCGGGTCAGTGATTGACGCTCGTCATTCCCCGAGCTTTCCACCCGGCTGAGCGCCGACAGAAGGAATCCATCTGTGGAGACGCCACGCGTCCGTCACGGCTCGCTCCGATTGGCTCACTCAAAGGTTTACTGTCATCCGTCCCCTTCCTGGACAACGAGCAGCGTCGCCTGAAGGTAAAATCACATCAGACTTGTTTTGTTGTTGCTCCGTTTGCCCTCACAGGATGAAGTCAGAACGACTCGCTGAGGCAGGAAATAACTCGAAGAGACCTCAGGACAAAGCGTCAAAAAGAAAGCCTGTTAGCACAACACGGTTTAGTCCTCACCACCATCTTGGGACCGCTAGACACGACTGATAATAGTTAACCAGAAAATAACAGTCCTTTAACATTTAGATTCTACCATCACTGGGGCCGAGGCCGCGCTGCGATTGGCTCATCTCCGCCCGGGGGCATTATGGGAAGCGCTCGGCTCTTCGGACGGCCTTCACTTTGGCAGCATCGTCTCCACGAGGATGTGTACTGTTTTATGGGTAGTACAGATGCTCGAGAAGTAGCCGGCGGCGCTAAAAGACACAGTCAGCATTCCACGCTTACAGCAACGATTGTAAAAAAAAATCCAAAGCTATACTTTTACTTTCTCTCTCTGTCAGCAGCTGAGGGCAGGGAGGAGATCCAGCAGCCTTCTGTGCATTGTAAGTTCATCCTTGTTACGTATTATTTATATGTCCCACTTTAACGCACAGGCCTCAAACACTCAGTGACCCACTTGCTGCTTTGAAGCCTCTTCCCTAAACACAAAGTACAGCCGAGGCGGCTGACTCGTTAGTCTCTGAGTATCTCTGACGACATCAGGACCGCAGAGAGTCTTTACATCTTCCGCCGCAAACTAAAGACACACTTCAGACTCTACCTCGACTAAAAACACTAACAAACTGTAGCACTTACAGTGTACATATACTGGCTCTTATTTATAATTACATATCATTTATAGCAAGTTCGGCTTATTTTATGAAATTGCAATTCTTTCTTTTGAGTATGTCTCCTTATGGTTGAAATGTTCTTATTGTCGCTTTGGATAAAAGCGTCAGCTAAATAACTTGTAATCAAGTATTTTGTCCGAAAACAAAATACTGGACGACTGGAAGCATCGGCCTAAAGGTGGTGCCGGATTTAATGACATGGGATCACCAAATTCATTGCAATTCATCCTCAGGGGAACATGAACGCGATCCCTAATTGAAGGCGAGACAAACGACAAAGACACCTAAACACTGGCTGAGAGATGCAAAACCGTTTGAAACAGACTCACAATAAAGATGAAAAGGGGCCAAACTACTAAACTAAAGTACACAAAGATTTCAAACAATAAAGAGACTCCAAAGAGACTCACAAATTGGCTGTGAGTCAAAAGCGGCATAAAAACTACAAAGACACACAAGCCGAGCTCAACAACTACAGCATCCGGACCGACTCATCGGACTCTAGTCCAATGGAGTATTTCCAAACACGCTCGTTCATACTTTGAATCCACTTCGCTTCAGAAGGAAATATTTTGTATTTTTTGTATCTTTTGTGACAAATTAAGATGACACATGAATTAGTTGACAGCTGATAGAAGAAGTGTTTGTATCAGTCGATCAAACTGAGTATTTCCTTGAGTAGTGTCAGGGATGTTGTGCGGGGACTCAAACGCAGAGTTTGTGGGAAACAAAAAGAACTTTAATAGTCAAAAAGGCTAAACGCTAAAGGCCAACGGGCAAAAACACATACAAGTACTGGAGGGGGGGGGGTTGGGGGCAGGAACGAGGACCATCCAGGACGATAGACAATGACGCGACCAGTGACAACCAACACACACGGCTTAAATACACTAGGGAGGTGCAGGTGATTGGACACAGGTGGAAACCTTCAGCGGGTGGAACTGAAATGGTGCCGCGGCTCGAAGGCGTCGGCGTGAAGGCCAGAGAACATCTCGAGACGGTTCGTCACACCGTGACAACCCTTGATGAGCTTTTCTTCACCATTAGTTCACCGGAATGTTTACGACATTCATCATCGTGGCTGCCGCTCGTTACCTCCGACGTTAGCTTCACCTCGACGACTGTAATTTATGGCCTTGTTCAGTCTTCTTCTTCCCCCCCACGTCGCTCCATTCCGCTGACGGAGGCCTCACTCCGTCGGGTCGGATCATTTCTCTGCCGTAATGATCCCCCGGAGTCACTATGAAGGTATATCCTGATGAAACACTGGCACTCAACGAAGAAAGACTTTAACGGACGATTATTTTTGTTGTTCTGATTGTTAACCTCCCACCACCTAGGGGTGTGGAGCCATCTTTCGATCAGGCCGCATGGTCCATATGATCAGCAGGATTACTTGCCGCAGGTGTTTTGGAGGCAAATAAAAGGAGATTCAATGCAGGGTGAAAAAGTGAAAGCAACAATTATGCAAAATGGTACAAAGCAGAATAAGGAACATTATATAGATTATGTATTATATTAGTGATGTGTTCCATCAGTGGTAAAAATATGTGTGTTGGCGTAAAAGTGTAACAATTCACAGGAAAACATTTACAGATGAATAGAAAGCCATTTATCGGAAAGTGGAAAATCAATCACGTATATACTGAAAATCACTGATAATATGGATTTGTTAAATTATCTCTAGAAAATCAAGTGTTTGTTCTACTCAGTGTGATTGACAGCAGAGATGATCAGAGGAGCAGCGTTTGTACCATTATTATTAATAAATGGACTGAAGAATGGGTAGAGTTTCTCAGTGAAGCAGCAGCCAGTAAAGGAGTAGATCAGAGCTGCAGCACCAACGTCATAAAAGGAGACCAGACCCTCCTCATAATCCACAAACACCCCCACCTTCTCAGGCCGGGACTCCAGAGAGAGATCGACTGATGGTCCAGCAAAAGCAGAGTACTTATTCTCATTCCTCAAACATATCGTCCAGTAACCATTCTGAGGAGACGGTGAGGTGAATCTCTTCCTGTTGATGGACTCTCTCACCACTCCTAACACCCAGGCAGTCTTCCCTTTAACCTGAACCTCGTAGTAAAATCTACCTGAAGAGAAACTCTGCTTTCCTAAAACAACAGCACAACGATTAAATCTCTCTGGATCGTCTGGGAGATTCTTCTTTACATCTCCATGTTTAACTTGTTTTCCATCATCAGACAGGATGAGTTTAGGATGTGCTGTATCAGGATCAAGTGTCACATCCACTGCAGACTGCTGGACTCTCTTCAGCTCCAGCAGCTTCATCTGTTTACTGAGCTTCTTCTCCAGCTGGTGCACAGCTCTCACCACAGTCCCCTCATATGAAGGTGCACTGACTCTGACTCCTGTCCAGTCCTTGGTGGGTGTAGCAGTGTTCAGGGTCCTGAAGCTCTGGAGGAGGTGGAGGTGTTCTTCAGAGCGTGAGAGCTGCTCCACCTCAGTGCTTCTCTTCTTCAGCTCAGAGATCTCCTGTTCCAGCTCTTTGATGAAGCCTTCAGCCTGTTTCTGTTTCTTTCTCTGCTTCTCTCTGATGGTGTCGATGAGCTCCGCCAGGCTTCTCTCAACAGACTCCTTCAGAGCGCTGAAGACCAGGACACCTTCTGCTACCTCTTTGTCTGCTGCTTCCTCACTGAGCTCCACTGAGTGTTTGATCTCCTGAATCTTCCGTCGTCTCTTCTGGATCATCTGCTGGACTTCAGCCTCAGTCTTCCCCAGCTCGGCCTTCTTTCCTTCATATTCTTCTCTCAGAGGAACAACATCGTGGTTCTTGTGGTCTAAAACAGTGCAGAGCATGCAGACACACATCTGGTCGGTCTTACAGAACAGCTCCAGCAGTTTATCGTGCTTCGTACACATCCTGCCTTCCAGGTTCTCCACAGGGTCCATCAGCTGATGTCTCTTCAGACCTGACGTAGTCAGATGAGGCTTCAGGTGAGCCTCACAGTAGGAGGCCAGACACACCAGGCAGGACTTGAGGGCCTTCACTTTGGTTCCAGTGCAAACGTCACAGGGAACTTCTCCTGGTTGGGCAGCTTGTTGCTCGGAGCTGCTGCTGCTGGCTTTCTGTTGAGCTGACAGTCTGAACTGAGCAGCCATCTCAGAGATGAACGTGTTGACCCGAAGTTCAGGTCTGGTGTTAAAACCCTGGTTACAGTTGGGACAGTTAGGCGGGGCATTAACGTTCCAGTGGTCAGTGATGCAGGCTTTACAGAAGTTGTGTCCACATGGTATGGTGACTGGATGAGTGAACACGTCCAGACAGATGGAGCACAGGAACTGATCTTCAGTCTGCAGACAGCTGGCAGCAGACATATCGACACTCTGAGGACAACAAGTGTGGAGAACTATGATTAGTAGAACATCTTTGGTCTACAAGAGTCCGACTCTAAATACCATAGAAACCACATCAGTGCTGTTTGTATTTCCAACCAACTAGTTACAGCCGGTTGGTTTTATATTCTCTAGATGTACATGTGGACATGGAGAGGTCACACAGTTTGTTCCTCTGCGTCCTAAAACCCTCCAAGTCCTGCTTCTTATAAACATCAAGAAGCATTATGAACATCAATGTAATAACAAACATTAATGACAAATAACACAACTACTGAACAGAGAATGTTCATCTGCTCCCTGATAAAAGAAACTTGTTTCTGCTGGAACCTAAACAGAAATATAATCTGCTTAAAAAATGGAAGAAGTTGCGATTAATGCATTTTGAATCGTTGCTCAGCGCTAGTTTTTATATTTAAAACCTCAATAACCGACGATGGCACTCAGCCAAACATTCACCCTGAGTGGAACTTCCTTTCAAGTTCAACCAGTTTTGAGGTATTTTGTTTTTTATTCCAACCAGGAAACAGGTGTGCGAGTTAGCTGAAGCTAACGCTAGCTGTGACTGTTCAGTCTCACTTTAACTATCCAGAGTTCAGTCTCTGTGTTTGGTTTCTACCTCTGATGCTTTATCTAAAATAAGACATTTCTTATTATCCTTAATATTGTTCATGTGATAAAAGCAGACGTCCAACAGTCAGATTGTGGTCTGAACTAAACTGGGAGCAGATGTTTAGTTCATGTATCTAGTCTTTGTAGAGCAGCGTACTCACCAGAGTTTGTCAGAGATCCTGTTGTGTTGTTGATGAAAAGCTGCTGGATTCAGTTGTTTCTTTAGAGAGAAACAGAGAGACTCGTCTGGACTGCAGCTCTGCGTCACTCACACCAACTTTACTTTACCTTCCTCCTCCTCTCAGGGAGGGAGGGTGGAGGAGGTACTCGGCTCCTCCTCTGAAGTAGAAGCACTTGTATTACAAGGTTAAAATATTGCAAAACATGCTTTTATACCTGATGTTTCTGAATTCATATTCCTGCTGCATTAATGTCCATGTTGCGTTTTAACTCCTTTACACATGTTGTCATATATCAGATCATCTTGTGTTTAAGGTTTCTATCCTTTTGAGAACTTTGTATCTCTAAAAACAGTTTTCAGCTTTGTGACTTTGTATTTTCCAGCGGCTCTTTAAAAGTTTTGTTTATCTGAAGAAGGAGGTGGATTTTTTAAACACATCAAGGAACTTTTCACCCTTCAGTTCATCACAAACATCAACATCCACACATCTGGAGATATGTTGTTTTACTGATCGACAATGTGATCTGAGGAGAAACTTAAGCTGTCAGACAAATGTAGGATATAATATTTATGATGGCGCGGAGATGTAGGACGTAGAAGGAAATGCAGAAAATTCAAGTAGGCCTACCTCACATTCATATTGAAGTATATTACTTGTACCTTTATGTACTTACTTTCCACCACACTGTTGAGTCTTATATTTCGTTCACCTTTTCTGATCCTTGAACTTGAACAAAAACCTTTTCATTCCTCCGATGACGGACTCTCAAACACTAAGTTTCTCACCAAGTACTTGTATGTATGAATGCAATTTACTCAGAAACAGTTTGTGTTTTATCTTCTTAAACAACTAACTTCTCGCCTGAAAAATTCCTATCTGACTTAAATATAGTAGAATTCATAAACTTTGACTTACAGTTGTGTTTATTTTCCTCTGTCATCGTTGACTTTTGCTGAGGTGAAATGCATTCTGGGATATTTGGCTCTCACAAGAACAAACGACCCTACTCCGATGCATTCCCGTTAAATGGGTGGGGCGAGTCACATCCGGGTATGATGAGCGTTCTCAGCGAGATGCAGACCTTAGAATTGGAACAGTACTCGACCTGCGACTGACGACTTTTTACAAATCCACGAGAACACGAGAACACAAGAACGCATAATGAGAAAGGGCCAGAGAGAGAGAGAGCGACGCAGAAAAATGGTCTGAAAAATGAGTTTTTGTTCTCAGCTTCAATTTTTATATTTCAAATAAATATTAGGGGTGTAACGATTCATTCAGTGAATCGATTAATCGATTTATATTCCTGCGATCCACCTGAATCGATCTGTGCTCCGCAAATCGGCATTCCGGACGACATATATCAATTACAAATCAATTGAAGTGGTACATAATCGATTGTATCGATACTTGGAAACTGCACATTGGATTCAAGTACAAAAACGGTATGGATGTGTGTTTGTTTGTTTGTTTGTTTTTTAGCACTTTAGACACGTTAAACGTTACTCGATTTAGTCTGCCTGTCTGTGACGTCATCAGTACGCAGCGGCAGCCGCGCGAAACTCAACAACAAAACACAGCGTGGAGGAGACGACTGCGAGCGAGACATTTACAAACTAACTTGATCCAGCGTGTGGAAACATTTGAGGTTTTGCAAACACGGAGGTGTTCTAAATAAGTCGATCGCTGTTTATAGAATATGTAGAAGACAAATAAAAACCACAGAAACACGGCAAATTTTTCCGGCCATCTACTAAGGCGCCGTGGGATTAAACAACGCCGACAGTCAGGACCTCTAGCAGCGTCACCGCTGCAGCAGCAGCAGGTAACTCCAGCTCTGCAGACACCTCAGGCCTCGCCAGCACCAAACTCAACATCACAGTAACAATTGCCAAGTTTATCTGTAAAGACGTGCGACCCGACAATGTGGTTGAAAATCCGGGGTTCTGTGAATTGATCCAAACATTGTGTAATTATTGTGTAATGTTACAATGAAATTGCACTTGATTCAAATAAAAGGTAATACATTTGCCATTAATTGTTGTTTGCTTGTTTATAATATCCATAATTAATTTAAACCTGATTTCCTTACAAGAAACAACAGGGATCTCAGAAACTTTGCCTGCACTGTCCAGTAAAGTTACTGAATCGATTTCAAGTCACTGAATCAAATCAAATCGAATCGTTCTAAATTAACCCAGATCGTCCGTGAATCGAATCGGCAACCATGAATCGTGATTCGAATCGAATCGTTGTTAAAATGAATCGTTACACCCCTAATAAATATGTTTACAAAATCATTGTATGAACACATTTTCTGAAGAAGTAACAACCCTATTTATTTATTTTTGCAGACAGTTACTGTGACTCATTGGAGCCGGTGCAGGAAGTGACATCGTGCGGCTAACGTTGCTAACGTCACCGTAGCAACTGAGCGCCACAAAGACTCGCTCAAATCTGAACACAAAGAAATGAGACATATTTTCTACTTAATCTTCCTGAATGTAAAATTGTCTCTGTAACAAATAAACTTCCATAAATCTGCTGAGAAGTTGAAGGATCAACGGTGCTTCTTATAGCGGCAGAACTTGCTGATAATATTCATGTTTTTAGGTTTTCTTCATTATCATCTGCAACCAGGGAGGGGCGGCTAAGCCTTAGCTTAGCTTAAGTCGTAGCTATTTAAATGTCCCATACTCTTATCATTGAGTTGATAACGTTGATTTGACTCATGAATTGTACGTTAATTAAACAGCATCCCATCATGACACATTCATGTAGCTGCAGTTGTTGTATTTATGTTGAGCTCCATTTAACATTTGATTTCACTTTACAGGTTATTCCAACGTAATTAGACGACAGGGAAGGTGTTAATTAAATGAAATGTACACAACCCCAAAGTATTATGGGAGTTGTGGTTTAAAAGTGTAGAGCCGGCGGTTTTTCTGAAATGCTGCAGAGGGACAGACGACAAACCAAAAAGTACAGAAACGCAAATGTTGAAACCCTCCCCTCAAATAAAATCATGATTCAGAAAAATAACATGTACTGCATGTGAGCTGCTGGTGAGTTCTGTGTGTGTGTGTGTGTGTGTGTGTGTGTGTGTGTGTGTGTGTGTGTGTGTGTGTGTGTGTGTGTGTGTGTGTGTGTGTGTGTGTGTGTGTGTGACTGTGTGATGACAGGCAGCAGGTTAACAGCTGATCTGCAGTCAGGCGGGAGGGTAGCCCTGGGGACGGTGGAAGCGGGGGGGGGGTCAGACCAATCAGCATCAGGGAGCTGTCAGCACAGATGAGCGTCAGCGCCAAGGAGGCGCTGCAAAGGATGATGGGACAGAGAGCAGATCTGTCCTGGGATCCTCGTCACCAAGACACCTCGAAGATCTCAACCTCAGCTTCCAGTTCAGAGTCGACTCGAGTCGCTAAATGTCAAATCAGGACTAGAAAAGCCAAGAATGATTATTGGAGATGAGACATTTTGAAGATTACAGCATGAAGATCAAACCTTGATATTTCTCTCTACACATAAGATGTACCAATAGAGCATTCCATCGCTCGCCTTCAGCTTGAATATAAAGAGGATTCACAATTCAAAGTCGACTGCTAAGATTAAGGGTCAAATATAAAATGTCCAAATGAACAGAAATGTACCAGAATAACCTCTGCAACATGCAACGAACCAGGGGCCACGGTGGGCCATCAGGGGGGTCGCGGCTTCATCACCAACCATTACACACAACGGTTGGGTTCTTACAACGTTCCTTTATCCTCAAACGGGCCTGACAAGAGAAGTTTGGAACCACTGAACTAACTGATGAGCTAACGAATGAAGATGAATGAAGATATCTGGGCTGAGGAGAAGTGGCGTAGAGACCTGTCAATCACAAGGTAGCGCCGCCCTCTATATCCCTTTAGAGGGATATAGAGGGCGTTTTGTCACGTTTTGTGTCCTCTCCATGTTTCCTTTCTCCTCCCAGTCTTTCCTCTTTCCTCTCCTTGTTTCCCGTCCTCTGTCCTCTGTTTCCTTTCTTCTGAACACATCTGAACACATTGTTTTATGCCCTCTGTCTTCTTCTAATTTCCTTTAATCTCATCTGACTTTATTTCCTTCCCCCACCTTGTTTCCTTTCCTCTCTCCTCGAAGTTTTCCTTTCCGCTCTGCTTTCCTCCCCTGTTTCCTTACTTTGGTGCCTCACTTCACCTTATTTCCTTTACCATCTCCTTACAATGTTTCCCTTTCCTCTCCTTGTGTCCTTTCCTCTCCTTGTTGTCCGTAATAAAAAGCTGCCGACACACAGAGGAAGCGACATCAGAAGCTTCCTCGCCACAGACGTGTTTCTGTCCTCTCATTTGCTCATCAATATTCCTAGATTCCTAACCTGAGTATTCCAGGAACATCTGCCGTAGGTTGTTCAGGTCATATTCAAATATGCAGTGAATTTGAATATTTCCCCCCGGACCACCCGGAGACGTCAACATCCCCAGAGCCATGCTGCCAGCGGGCTAAACATAAACAAACAAACAATCACAGGTAACGTTCAACTTCCTGCAGTCATAAAGTACGTATTTACCAACCTCCTAACAGATTGCTGTATAATCAAGACCTCTAAACTTAAGTTCTATGCAGAACATCCTGCCAAAGTTCAGGTCTGCCAACGCACACGTGCAACGTTGCCACGGTAACGCTTCCCTCACATCCTCCTCCTTGCCGGCGTTGCCCCCAGGCAGCAGTGAGCTTCTGAGCTCGGACAACAGAAGAGAAAGCACGAGGAAAAAGAAAAGTCATTCTGCAGGACCACCGGTGCTGACCCCTCCCTCGGCGGGCCCCCAGTGCGAAGGGGCCCCTGGTGACATCACAGACGACTCCGAGCCGCTACGCCGAACCCACAGAGGGGGAGGGGCAGTGTGAGGGAGCACCGCTCTGCCGCTGGCACCAGCTAGCGTATGAAGATGTCTCGGATTCCATCGGGAAGGAAAGCTGACAAGTCGTCACAATGATTTTATGAAAAATGACTCGAATAGTTAATCAGTGATGACGAGAGCAGCTGTGTGGACTCCTGTCAATCAAATATCATTCAAACTTATGTGTCTCTGACCCTTAATGAAGTAGCTATGGGTTTGTGCCCGATACCAAACAAAGCATAACAAGAAAACAGAAAACACCTCATGGACGAGGACATTAGATCGAGCTTCATACAGGAGACACCAGCCAATCAGAGCGGACCATTCCCCTCACTATAAGCCTGCAGTCCTGTGATCTGCACTGTAAAAACTCATTTTGGAGGGTAGTAATTATTACCCATGCAAATCGTTTAAATGTGACTGGAAAAGTATTAGTCAGCAAACAAATGTATAATTATGGGTAACTTGCACCTACACTACCTATTTTTCGACAGTGACAACTACAGCCTAATAAAGACAGCTCGTCTTCATCGCCGCTCGGCTGCTGATGATGGTCTCACTGCACAGGCTGCAGAGGTCATAGGTCACCGTCCACCATGAGTCCAAAGGTCAAAGGAGACCAGTCTGTTCACACATCAACAGCTTACACCTGAGTTATGGACCAATCGTCTGTTGATAAGCGGCTCGGTCTGTCCAAAGGGGTTCCAGCTTGGATGAGACGGGTTAAAGTTAAAGTCCAGGTCCACGGGGGACGAGCTCGGGTCAGGTTTTACTCCCTGTGACGCTCTGCCGAGTCCTTTGTGGTATTGTGAGGTCAATTTGGGGACATTTAGTTTCCTCTAAACTCACGTCTCACGGCACTGGGGACCGGTTTGACTCCAGTTTGACATCATCTGATATGACTCCAAGTTAAATCATTCATTATTCCACAGGAGACATTTGTAGGACAGCCACGAAGAAGCACATAGATCAATAAATATAAGCACAATGGACACAAAATAACAGTAACATAATATGCATGAAAAAGAGAGCAGAGACTTACCTTGAACAGCCGCAGGATGTTGGCCACCATGATGGACACGGAGCTGGCCGACGCCCCGATGACGCCCACCACTTTGTCCGGCTTGGCGAAGATTGGCGCCTCTCCGTTGGCGCAGCGCACGTCGGAGCCGTCCCGCTCGATGAGCGCCTGAACGAAGGTGAGCGACTGCTCCAGGGCGTAGGTGTCACGTGAGCACGTGTCCAGGATGCGGGCGCCCAGCGTCACGTTGGGCAGCAGCTCCGGGTCTTTGTTGATGAGGTCGATGGCGAACAGCATGGCCTCCAGCCGGTGGATGCCCT